GCGACTATTGTTATACATTCGAAATTGAAAAATGAAAATCCGGGGCGCCTGGGTGGCTCAGTCGTTAGGCGTCTGCCTTCAGCTCAGGTCATGATCCCAGGGTCCTGGGGTCGAGCCCCGCATCGGGCTCCCTGCTCGGCGGGAAGCCTGCTTCCCCCTCTCCCACTCCCCTGCTTGTGTTCCCTCTTTCGCTATGTCTCTCTCTGTCAAATAAATAAATAAATAAATCTTTAAAAAAAAAAAAAAAAGAAAAATGAAAATCCTGAGGAGAGTAAAACTTAAAAGTCCTCACCGAAGGAAAAAAAAAGACACAATGCTTTTCAAAATGAAAGAACTATTAAGTGCCAATGAATCCTGCTGGCTATATTTTATCACTGATATCACCAAAGGAGAAAACTACATGAAAATTTACTTTGCACAAATGAAATCTATTCTGTAACTACATATGCTATAAAACATATACAATTATATAAAATTGTATGCAAGAAATAACACCCCATCTTACACAAACTCTTTTAGAAAATAAAGTTAAACATAACCACTATATGACCCAACCATCTCACTCCTTGGCATTTAGTCAAGGGAAATGAAAGCATAAATCCATATAAAAACCTGTACACGAATGTTCATAGCAGCTCTATCGTAACAGCCAAAAACTGCAAACAACCCAAATGCCTTTCAACGGTTTAATTAACAAATTGGGATTTCCCCAATGGTGGAATATTGTTCAGTAACAAAAATAATGCAGTACTGATATATACAAGCACATGAATCAATCTCAAGATTATCAGGCTGAATGAAAGGAGGCAGACAAGACAGAAAACATACCGAACAATTTCTCAAATAACTCAAGAAAATGCAAACTAATTCAAAGTAAGAGAAAGCAGATCAGTGGTTGCCTGTGGACAGGGTGGGTGTAGGGGGCAGGGAGGGGCATGAAGGTGGGATTACAAAAGGGCAAAAGGAAACTTTGGGGTGAGATGGACATGTTCATGCTCTTACTGTGGTGAAAGTTTCACAGGTATATACCTATGTCAAAATGCACCCGACTGCACATTTTAAAAATGTGTAGTTTACTGTATGTCAATCATACCTCAGTAAAGTTGCTTAAAAATAAAATATCACAGCAAGAGAATAAAAAGGAGGAGAAAGGGGAAGAGGAGGACAAAAAAAGAAAAGAAAAAAAATTAGTAGTAGTAGTGGTGGTAGTATTGACCTTGCCTGACCTTGAGACTCACATAATGCTACAGGAATCAAAAGACAGTGTGGCATTGGCATAAAGATCAACAAACAGTTTACAAGAATAGAAGTGAGCACCCAAAATGCAGCCACACTTACACAATTATTTGATTTTTCAAGACACCAAAACCATCCAAAGGGATAATTATTTTCAGTAAATGGTGCTGGAACCACTGGATATCCACATGGAATGCAATAAACCACACCACTACCTCACATCATACAAAAAAACTGATGCAAAATTGTTTAGAATTCTGTTTATTAAATAAAAACAAAAAGCTTTTAGAGTACAAAAGAATACCTTAGTCTCTTGAATTACCACCTAGGAATGGAGGCACTAGATCGTATATAGTATGGATATGTTTAATTTTTAAGAACTGCCAACTTTTTTCCAGCTAGCTGTACTCTCATATTCCCAGACAGGACACACAGAACAATAACCATTACCAACTGATAAATTAGCTTGATCAAAATTCAAAGTTTTTGCTCTTCAAAAAACATGATTGAGAAAATGAATAGAGGGACGCCTGGGTGGCTCAGTCAGTTAAGCGTCAGACTCTTGATTTTGGCTCAGGTCATGATCTCAGGTGGTGAGATCAAGCCCCATGTCGGGCTCACCACTTAGCGGAGTCTGCTTCTCTCCCTCTCTGAGGGAGGGAGGGAGGGAGGGAGGGAGGGAAGGAAGGAAGGAACGAACAAACGAACGAACGAGAGAAAGAACGAGAGAGAGAAAGAGAGAAAAGAAAGAAAGAAAATGAACAGAAGACCCATAGTCTGGGAAAAAATATTCCCAAAACATATCTGACGTATCTGACAGAACCTGGAATCCATGATATATGAAGAATTCCTTCAACACAATAAGGAAAAAACCAACCCAATTAAAAAATAATGCAAGCAATTTTAACACTTTACAAAAGAGCTACAAATGGTCAAAAAAAAAAAAACCACATGGAAAGCACTATCATCATCATCATCAGGCAGATGCAAATTAAAACCACAATGCAGTATCACTAGAATCCTCCAAATGGCTGAAATTAAGAAGACTGACAACACAAACTGCTTGCGCGACTGGAGGACCTCTGAACCCTCCTTGCTGGTAGATGTGTAACATGGTCCAAGCACACTGGAAAAATGTCTGGTGGCTTTTTATAAAAACATATATGTACTCTATGACCTAGCAATTCCACTCCCTGGCATTTTCCTCAGAGAAATGCAAACATCAGACTTATAAAGCAAGTTCCACAGCAGCTTTCATCTTCAGAGCCAAATCCTGGCAACAGCCCAAGAGCCCAACATCAGAAGAATGGATTCACAAACCGGCTCTATTTATACAATGGAATACTACTCAGCAAAAAAAAGGAACTGATCTATCCAACATGAATAAAACTCAAACCATTATGATGAAACGCAGTGGAACACAGAAGAGAGCACAGTCTGATGATTACACTCCTGTGAAGTTCTAGAGCAGGCAAAACCAACCAGTGGTGCAAAGAAATCTGAACAGTGGTGGCTCCTGGGGGTGGTAGGCAAAGGGAATGACTGGAAGATGGAATGAGGTAATATTCTCTATTTTGATACAGATGGGATTACACAGGCATATGCATTTGTCAAAATTCACTGATCTGTGTATTTCTTAATATATAAATTTGTGTATACACATAAAAAGAGGTATAAATAAACACTGAATGCTCATTAATGATATGCACACCAAATTGTTTAGGGGTAAAGTGTACCAATGTCTGTAACTTAACTTGAAATATATTAAAATCATTAAATTGTTTTCATTACCCCATCTGCAGCTGAGTAACACCTGTCTGTATGGTTCCCAAAGAGCTCCCTCATCTTTGGTCATTTCAAGTGGTGTCCCAGCTTTTTATTGTTAAGCTGTGAGAGCTGAAATACTTAACCTTGTGAGTGCCCCTTCATCAAACTGTGGAGAAGCTACTAAAATAGCCTACCACCGATCCTAAAAAGTTCTGACTGCTGTAACTACTCTGAAGTAGTTTCTGGACAGGTACATGATAAAGCAAATAGAGCAAAATGTTAATGCAGGTTTAACTACAGAATCGAGGTTGTGGCATGTGAGTTTCTAACTGTACAATTTTTTAAATTTTTTAAGATTTTATTTGAGAGAGAAAGAGAAGTCACAAGCGGTGGGGAGGGGCAAAGGGAGAGGGAGAAGCAGATTTTCTGCTGAGCAGGGAGCCTGACCCACAGCTCGATCCTAAGACCCCGAGGTCATGACCTGAGCCTAAGGCAGATGCTTAACTGACTGAGCCATCCAGGCACCCCTCTAACTGTACAATTTTGAGTTTTCTGCACAACTGAAAATTTTTACAGTAAAATGAAGAAAAAATCTACTCTGCAGATGTCAAAATACGCTAGCAACAGGACAGCAAAGTCCCTACCACACTGTTTTTTGGCTACACTAGGAAAAAGAAAAAAACAAAAAAAGGACCTTTCAAAGGCTACTCACTGACCATGAAGTAAGGAGCTGAAGAAAATTATAGAAGACTATTGGGGCACCTGGGTGGCTCAGTCGTTAAGCGTCTGCCTTTGGCTCAGGTCATGATCCCAGGGCCCTGGGATCGAGCCCCACATTGGGATCCCTGCTCGGCGGGAAACCTGCTTCTCCCTCTCCCTCTCCCACTCCCCCTGCTTGTGTTCCCTCTCTCGCTGTGTCTCTCTCTGTCAAATACATAAATAAAATCTAAAAAAAAGAAAATTATAGAAGATTATTATAAAGAAAAGGATGAGTAAGAAAGGCAAGTTCAAATAACTGAAAAAATGACAAAAGGTTCAAAAGAGCCAGAACAACTCTGGTGCTAGGGTGTAATGGGCACAGATTTTCACCAGCACAGAAATTACTAACTCTTGACCTTTTTAAGTCCAAGATCCTTTTAGTACTATCATAAAGGAGGAAAGGTGGAGGGGCACATGTAGAAAGAAGACTGGTCAAGAGTGTCAAATGCTGCTGAGGTCAGCTAGAAAACATGGAGGTCACTGCTGTCCCTGATTAGAACGGATGCAGTACCGTTGTGGGGCAGGAACCTTTGTGCATCATGTTAAGGAGCGTGTAGGAATTAAAACTTACTTTAAGAAGCCTAGTTATAAAAAACAAAAACACCCTGTTAAAGGTGGAAGAGACATCAGTATGTTCCAGGGCTGGTGGGGGTAGGCCAGTAAACTGAAGGCACAGGAAGAAATGAGATACATGACATTCAGGTTCCTGGTGGTGCTAGGATGAGCTGGGATCCAGCGTGCAGGTGGAAGGTCTGAGCCAAGCTTTAACTGACACCTCATCCTGTTTTAACGGGAGAAAAGGCAAGGAATATCTTGCATGTTGGCTTCTCTATTTTCTGTGAAACTGAATGCATATTCCTTAAAGGATCAAGCATGACTTTTTTTAATCCTCTGAGACACAGAGTAGCATATATAGAAATATACAGAAAACATTCAATAAATACTGGGGAGAAAAACAAAGCTAAAATTCTACGCAAAGCCCATCCTCATAATGACAACGAAAACTGCTAATTATGCTCCACTGTTTCTTAAGCCCCCTGGGTTTTCCACATAATGATGCTCTGTGTTAACTCAAGATTCACCAACACCAAGGCCCCAAAGCATTGGAAAGAGAGCAACGCAGAGAATACACTTACCTCTGAGTAGTTACACCAGGCAGATCATTTAGGACAGGTGACAGGAGGCTATTTTAGGAGATTCTCCAATTTAACAAAGAGGCACTCACAGTAAGTACTTACTATTTCAACTCTCGGACTAACAATAAAAAGCTGCAACATCATTTGAAATGACCAAGTTGAGGCAGCTCTTCCAGAAGAACAATGTAACACAGACAAGTGTTTTCCAGCTACAGATAAGGTAATGAAAACAATTCAGTGATTCCCAACCAGCATTTTTAAATCAAACAACCGATTAAAACATGATAGAATCACATGTAGTTAAGGTAAGAACTGTTTCATGAAACTTTTTCCATATACATATCAGAGCAAAATATAAAAATTTCTTAAAGTGGGACGCCTGGGTGGCTCAGTCGGTTAAGCGTCTGCCTTCAGCTCAGGTCATGATCCCAGGGTCCTGGGATCGAGTCCCGCATCAGGCTCCCTGCTCTGCGGGGAGCCTGCTTCTCCCTCTGCCTCTGCCTCTCTCTCTCTCTCTGTCTCTCATGAATAAATAAATAAAATCTTTAAAAAAAAAAAAATTTCTTAAAGTGACTGGGGCAGTAAAAAATTTGAAAACTACTGATGGATGGTTCGAAGCAGAAAGATAAAGACTATAAATCGTCGATTCTATATAAAATTATATAGTTGCATATAAAAAATGAAATCTTGCCATTTGGGACAATACAGATGGAGCTAGAGGGTATTACTCTAAGTGAAGTAAGTCAGAGAAAGAAATACCATATGATCTCACTTATATATGGAATCTAAAAAAAACAAAACCAAAACTAACAAATACACAGAAATGGTGATGGGGTGGGGCTCGAGCAAAACAGGTAAAGGGGACTAAAAGATACAAACTTCCCGTTGTAAAATTAAGTCACCGGATGGAAAGTACAGCATTGAGAATATACTCAATAACATTCAATACCTTTGTGGGTGGCAGATGTTAAACTACACTGTGGTCAGCATTTCCTAATGTTTGTAATTGTCGATCACTATGTTATGCACCTGCAACTAATACAATTTTGTATGTCAACTAAACTTCAATAAGAAAAACTTCTCAGCTTTAACCTCTAATGCGGTAAACATCGATAAATACATAAACAAAAGCCCTTTGTGATCCTCAGTTTGGAAAAGTGTAAAGGGCTCCGGAGGCCCAAGGCTTTGAGAACCCCTGGTCTCAGTTATTGTTACGCAACAAAGTCATGAACACCTAGTAAATCACGCAATTCTCCTTTTTCTCCTTTTACTCCACTGTTTGTCCACAACAGTTTTAGTCGTCCTATCAAGCGAAGGGCTGGCCAACAGACTTTTGTTACGTGTTGCGGGGGATGTAATAAAGGCTCAGGTTTCAACAGTAGGACGGAGTCACAGATTTTAAATAATTCTGGGCCTGCCCTTACTCTCGTTTCAGCCGGGCACAAACCCTTAGTAAAACGACAGACGTGAACCACCAGAACCGGGGCACGTTCGCAGAATACGGACAGATGGGAGTGGGTGTAAGGAGCAGACAGGGAAACTTCGAGGGAAAAGGGGCAGCTGGGGAGAAATTGCCAAAATCTTGGGGTCTGCTGTAATTCCCCGCCTCCCTAAGACTCCCGAGGGAGGTGTCAAAGGGTGGGTCTAGAGAGGCCGCTCCGGAGCTCCCACCAAGCCTCACCTCTGCCCAGACCCCCTCACCCCTCCTCTCACTCCCAGCGCCACCCACCCGCACGTCTTCGATCGCCAAAGCCCCACGACCCCCAAGGATCCTCACCACCAACAGGTTCCTGTCCTCCACCAGCTGCCGCTTCCGGAGGATCTCCGATTTCAGAACGTCCATCCCGCTGCCCGGGTTTACGCTCGAGCGTCCCTCTCGGGGTCCTGGAACCAAGCCTCACCTAGTCAGGCGCCGCGAACCCACCACAAACAAGCTCAAATACCTGACAACGACTGACAAGAACCGCTTCCGGCGGAAGCTGAAGCAAGCGAGAGGAGGGGAGGGAGTGCTCCAGGGCCCCTGTTGTTGACGAAGCCGCTGTAGACTTGCGCCCCCTGGCGGCGCCCTCCGGCAGCGCGCCTGTCGTTTATGCTAGTGGAGGTAACAATGGAAAGTAGGCTGAAACAGGAGTCTTCTTGAAGCCTGTGGAGGTCGACCTGCTGTATTTTTAAAGAGAAGTTATTACACCTGCTTGTATTTGCTAGTTCAGAAGCAAAAGCCTCCTCATAGAACACTTCAATTATATTAATTAGGGCCAGATCCTCACTCATTAAACCAGTTCACACCAGAGTTCCTGAAGTTACCTGCTTGCCAAAATGAATGCACTAAAGTGGGAAAACCCTTGGGGCACCTGGGTGGCTCAGTCGAGAAGCGTCTGCCTTCAGCTCAGGTCATGATCCCAGGATCATGGAATCGAGCCCTGCATCGGCCTTCCTGCTCGGCGGGAAGCCTGCTTCTCCCTCTCCCTCTCCCCCTGCTTGTGTTCCTCTCTCACTGTCTCTCTCTCTGTCAAATAAATAAAATCTTAAAAAAAAACAAAAAAACAGTTCTTAAAAAAAAATAAAGTGGGAAAACCCTGAGCAATACTGTTAGTTCATTAGTACAGAATAAAGGGGCAGTGTTGATTGCCACCCTGTTAAATTTCCTGTATAGTTAAGCGACGATATGCATTTAAGTCGCTTCAGAAGTAAATGTCTCTCATTTCTCAGTTCTAAACTGCTTACAAATCTTGGTGATAATTGAACACTTACCCCAAGCTAACTGAGATAACTGTTATGGTCATGTGTTCAGCAATCAAGATTTTCAGTGACATGATTGGAGATGTAATCAGAAAGAGTGTGTGTGTGTGTGTGTGTGTGTGTAAGTCCAACCCAAGAAGAAAAATTAAATTGTGGAGAAAAATTATGTCTAAGATTTTAATTTTAAAAAGACCCTAAGAACTGTTTACAAAGCATTTATCTTTGGTTCTATGCCATTGAAGCTGTTTTTGAAATTCCAGATAAATCACAACTGAACAATATTTGACAGGCTAGTTTTTCCCACTCAAAAAGGAAAGAAATATCATTCAGTTCAGTCGATCGATACTGAGTAAGATGATTTATCAAAATAAAAGATGGTAGAGAACTGTTCGATCAATTTACAAAGTTGTGTGTGTGTGTGTGTGTGTGTTGGTTACATTTCATCCAAAAGATAGCTGACTTTTACCAGAAATAAATCAACATAGGAAGTTAACTCATTCTCTGACCTAAGATGCTGTGCTAATTTTTAGGGCTTTGGAAAGCTTAAAATATTTTACCAAGAAAAGGTCCTTGAATTAATAAACACGGCGACCCTCTTATATGGCTATTGGTCTCCTGAGTCACTTATAATTCCCTAAGCAAATAATTTATTAGCATTTGCCTGTTTTAGGGTTAAGAGATTATTACACAGAAACATGAATGAGGGGCACCTGGGTGGCTCAGTTGGTTAAGTGACTGCCTTCGGCTCAGGTCAAGATCCTGGAGTCCCAGGATCGAGTCCCACATCAGGCTCCCTGCTCAGCAGGGAGTCTGTTTCTCCCTCTGACCCTTACCCCTCTCATGTTCTCTCTCTCTCAAATAAATAAATAAAATCTTAAAAAAAAAAAAAAAGAAACCTGAATGAAGGACTGACAGGGATGATAGTAACAATAATGGAAGTTTCCAGCAAAGGAACAGGTGGCCAATGGGAGACAGTAAGTGCAAACCAGAGAAACAACTAGCTACCAAAAACAGGCTCCTTTTAAATTTCAGACTCTCACTGATTTCGGTGTTTATGGAAACATGTGCATTAAATCTTGACAAAGGCTTGAGATGGAAGAAAGATGTGTACTTGAACAAGCAAAGTGATGAGTAAGCTTTTCAATACAGAAGGGAAAAAAGACTCCCCGGAGAGAACGAACCCATCCTAACTCTAAGGGAGAATGTGTTCATTTTCAACCTATGCATTCTGGAGCCACCGGGTGGCTCAGTCGGTTGAGCATCCGGCTCTTGATTTGGCTCTTGATTTCGGCTCTGGTCAAGATCTTAGCGTCATGAGATTAAACCCCGCCCTCCCAGACTCAGCTGGATGTCGGCTTCAGATTCTTTCTCCTTCTCCCTCTTTCCCTCCCCCTGATCATGCACTCTAAATAAATAAACAAACAAATAAATAAAACCTTTAAAAAAAACTGCATCCCATTCCATCACAGTAGTTATTTAAGAAGTGAAATATTGTTAGCAACCCAAATATCCTAAATGGGAGAATGGTTAAATAACTTACAGTTCATACATAGAACAGAATAATCTAGAACATTAAAAACCATGTTTCAGAAAATATTCAATTATGTGAGAATGCTCATGATATAGTGCTTAATGAAAAAGTAAACTAATGAAACTAGAAATCTAGTATATGGTCACTTTTCGATTAGAAAAGCATATAAACTTAGAAAAAAATTATTGGTAGGAAACATATCAAAATATTGGCTTGTTATCTGTCAATAGTAACCACTGGTGATTCTTTTCTTCTTCACACCATAACTTGATACAAGTTCCATAATTTGGAGAAAATATCTAGAGAGCAGTCATTTTCTGTTTTAATTATTGAAATTCTTTATAAATTTTTCCAGGGTAACTACTTTAGAAATTATGTGTGATAAACTTTAAATAATGCCGATAAAAGAAAGCAAGGGATTGGACACTAAATATTTGTGTAAATCTTCATAATTATTCAACCAATATTTAGGTGTCTTCTGTGAGCTCTATACTACTTTAGGTTCTGTGGCCTAAACCAAATACAAAATGTTACCCCTCCTCTTGAGGATATTACCAGCTAGCTTGGGAATCAAGAAATAGATCCTGAAAAGTTAACTTATGTAAGATAAACATGATTTAACAGCATAGATGAGGTTATAATAAAGTATTCACAGAAATAAAAGACCAGTCATTTTCTAAAAGAAGAAAGAGTAAAAATCAATATAAGAATGATGAGATTATTGCTCTGCTAGAGTAACTCATCCAAAGGGAGATTGTCATTTCTAAAGACTGGAAGAAATACCAAATTTAATCAGGATGACCTGGGTTTGTTTTGTTGCTGTCCTAAAGAATAGAATGTAGCTTTTTTAAAGCTAGATAATCTAGTACAGTAGCCCTCATTCTTCAGTTTGCCTTAGAATAACCTGGAGGACCTTTTGAAACCCAGACTACTGGTCCCCCTCCCCAGAACAGCTCAGTCAGGAGGTCTGGAGTCGTGCCCAATAATTTGCTTTTTGAACAAGCTCCCAAGTGAAGCAGCTGCTGTTGATCCAGGGACCACACTTTGAGAACCACTGATCTAATACATTATTTAGAAATCTCTCCGGGGAGGAAAAAGTGGATGAGTCAGAAACTCAGTCTGCATGGAGTCCTGATAAACAGGAGTGGAGGAGGAAGCAAGTGCCTGTGTATTTGTAACAGTTATGGACTCCTCTGAGGGCGCCCTCCCACGCACAGTGATGCTTCCGGAAATTTCCTAATGGGAGGGGACAGGCTGCCTTTGGATTCAGCCACATTCACATAACTGCTTTGTGTGGCTATACCATGGGCAGGTACCTGACGCAATCTGGGCCAACCAGAGTCCATTCCCTAGAAAATTGGCATTGGAATTGGGTCAATCTTCCTTTTTTTTTTTTTTTTAAGATTTTATTTATTTATTTGACAGAGAGAGACACAGCAAAAGAGGGAACACAAGCAGGGGGAGCAGGAGAGGGAGAAGCAGGCTTCCTGCTGAGCAAGGAGCCCGATGTGGGGCTCGATCCCAGGACCCCGGGATCATTACCCAAGCCAAAGGCAGACACCCAACGACTGAGCCACCTAGGCGCCCCGGGTCAATCTTTCTAAGATGCAGGAAATATAAATGTGAATTCGAGTGGTGGATAGCCATTTCAGTAGCAAACTGGAGCCAGCCCAGTCTTTACTGACCTGCAAGAGCAAACTGCTAAATCTTTAAGAATTTTATGAGTCAGCTGTTAAGCATGCCATTATTAAAAGTTAAATGTTTATTTACATAAGTACTTTATAAATACAGGTAATAAATACACAGAACCTATTACATACAATCGTGTTATTACATTTTACTATAATTTATACTCTTGCAGTTGGTTATAACTATTGCCTCTTTGTGGTGGAAATTCCACGTGACATGCTACCGCACATTTTTCAACAACTCCACACTTGTGAAATGTCATATTGGTAGATTCAATCAGCCACAGTGGGAATATTTACACCACCGAAATTGGCAACCACTACAAATCTGGACTTGATTTATTATTTTGTTGATTGTCTAAACTTTAAAGAGTTATGAAAAAAAAGTTACTAATACAAACCAGGGTTTCTCAACTTTGGAGCAGATAATTCTTTTTAGGGAGAGAGATGTTTGGCATCTATTTATCTATTAGGTGCCAGTAACACCCTCCTTCTATAGTTATGACAAGCAAAAATGTCTCTGGACATTGCCAAACGTCCCCTGAGGAGCAAAATCTCTCGCTTGTCAAAAACAACTGATAACAAATGAAATGTAAAAGTGTTGTATCTGCAGCTGTTGCCTAGTAAGTAAAGAGGAAAAAGACTGAGGGAGATATTCTTCCAGGATTCGAGAACTATTATCTGATTCAATAAAGAAGTCATCTCACATGACAAACAAATGAAGTTCCAACGTGTATCTTTGTTGTTTCACTTTGGCCTTATTCATTGATTTAGCAAAAATATTAAATAGCATTCATGTCAGAGCTAGACTCATTCATCCTTTATAACCACAGGTTAGCTGGGGATACAAGAGTTCTGCAAAAATCAATTAAAGCATTCTGTGAGAATCAGCTGGCTACATGGAACTCACAGCAAAAAAATATTGTATTCACTATTACCTAATAATTATTATTATTCATTATTACCTAATGTTGTGTCCTCCATATGCTTTATATCGGTAAGGATATCAGTA